AGAGCAATTTGGAGATATTCGGAGTCACAAAACTGTACTAAAAACTGTACCATCGAGAGTCTTTGAAGTGTCAAAATTATTATGAGAACTAATAATAATATATTTTATTGTCGTAATAAACCATTACTACAAAACGTCATTGAATACATATTAAACAAAATGAAATATCAATAATACAAATATACATTTCATGACAATTACACACTACACATTACGCATTAAAATTGTGAGACTGAACTGTCGTGAGATATTCCTCGCACGAATAGATCCATCAAATATTCTTTTATTTTCCTTTTAAACCGTTGCCTAGACAGCGCAGTCAGCTGCGGTGGTAGTACGTTATAGAGTTTTGGACCCCAGTAATCCACATACTTTTGCGTTGATGCAATTCTGTGGTACGGTACCTTTTATTGGTGTCGTGATCTTGTCACATAGCTATGGGTACCACCATTGGAGGGAAAACTGTCTCTGTTATCATGAACATGCAGCAATGCCGTAAGTATATATATGCTTGGTAAGGTAAGTATATTCTCATATTTAAACTAGTTCTTACAACTTTCGTATGTTCTCAGCCCACACAGCACCCGCAATGCCCTCTTCTGTAGTCGGAAGATCCTCAAAAAATCAGATGCCCTGCCCCAGAAAAGAACACCATACGACGCCACCGAGTGAAATGATGCAAAGTATGACAACCTGGCTGCCTGGTGAGTGGCTACTTGTTTTAGTCTTCGTATTGTAAAGATAGCAGAAGTCAGCCTAGTCCTCAGATGCTTCAAGTGCACTTCCCACGTCATTCCGCTGTCTAGATGCATACCCAGAAATTTTATAGTTGTAGATTCCCTCCCACGTCGAGTGGTCTTCAACACTATATGTTCTGTTTTTTCACTGTTCAGTTTGAGCAGATTATTACTGAACCATTCTTGAGTGGACAATATTGCTTCTTGTGATTTAGCCCTTAAGTTATCCTTTGTAGTGTCCTTTAATACGATGGATGTATCATCAGCATATAAATATGTCTCTTCAATAATGTTGCAAGGCAGATCATTAATATATATAATAAACAGGAGAGATCCAAGAACAGACCCCTGAGGAACACTATGTTTGATTTTTACACTAGACGATCTATTACCATTATGCTCAACATTTTGGTCAACTAACATAATTGCTCATTTAGTTCGTAAGTAAATTCGCTATAAAATTTATTTCTTGAAGGATCCTTGTGGAAATATCGCCAATTATTAATTATAGTATCATCTTTTTAATGCAAGAAGCCGTTTTGAAAAATCACTTTTAGTTCATGAGAAATAAATTTTTAAAATAATCGACAATTTTTTCGAATTTTGCAATTTTCGCCAATTAAGATTTAAAAATTCGTATAAAATCGATTTCTTGGAATATGAGTATAAAAATTTCCCAAAATGTTAATAAAAGTGTCCTCTTTCCAATGAACTAACCCGTTTTGAAACATAACTTTTAGTTTTTGAGAAAACAATATTAGAAGTTTTGTTAAAATTTTCGATGTTGCAATTTTCATCGATAATTTTCAAAATTCGCTTTAAAATTAATTTCTTGAAGGATCCTTGTGGTAATATCACCATTTATTAATTATAGTATCCTCTTTTTAATGCAAAAAGCCGTTTTGAAAAATCACTTTTAGTTCTTGAGAAATAAATTTTTTAAATGAACGACAATTTTTTCAAATTTTGCTATTTTCGCCATTTAAGTTTTAGAAATTCGTATAAAATCCAGTTCTTGGTATATGAGTATGAAAATTTCCCGAAATGTTAATAAAACTGTTCTCTTTCCAATGAACCAACCCGTTTTGAACAATAACTTCTAGTTTTTGAGAAAACAATATTTGAAGTCTTGATAAAATTTCCGATGTTGCAATTTTCATCTATAACATTCAAAATTCCCTATAAAATTTATTTCTTGAAGGATCCTTGTGGAAATATCACCAATTATTCATTAAAGTATCCTCTTTTTAATACAACAAGCCGTTTTGAAGAATCGCTTTTAGTTTTTGAGAAATAAATTTTCGAAATGATCGACAAGTTTTTCGAATTTTGCAATTTTCGCCGATTAAGTTTAAAAAATTCGTATAAAATTCAGTTCTTGGTATAGGAGTATGAAAATTTCCCGAAATGTTAATAAAACTGTTCTCTTTCCAATGATCCAACCCGTTTTGAAAAATAACTTCTAGTTTTTGAGAAAACAATATTTGAAGTCTTGATAAAATCTCCGATGTTGCAATTTTCATCTATAACATTCAAAATTCCCTATAAAATTTATTTCTTGAAGGATACTTGTGGAAATATCACCATTTATTCATTAAACTATCCTCTTTTTAATGCAACAAGCCGTTTTGAAGAATCGCTTTTAGTTCTTGAGAAATTAATTTTTGAAATGATCGACAATTTTTCAAATTTTGCAATTTTCGCCGATTAAGTTTTAAAAATTCGTATAAAATCCATTTCTTGGAATATGAGTATGAAAATTTCCCAAAATGTTAATAAAAGTGTCCTCTTTCCAATGAACCATCACGTTTTTAAAAATTACTTGTAGTTTTTGAGAAAGCAATATTTGAAGTTTTGCAAAAATTTTCGATGTTGCAACTTTCATCAATAATTTTCAAAATTCGCTATAAAATTCATTTCATGGGGGATCCTTGTGGAAATATCACCAATTATTAATTACAATATCCTCTTTTTAATGCAACAAGCCGTTTTGAATAATCACTTTTAGTTCTTGAGAAATACATTTTTGAAATAATCGACAATTTTTTCGAATTTTGCAATTTTCGCCGATTAAAATTTAAATATTCGTATAAAATCGCTTTCTTGGAATGTGAGTATGAAAATTTCCCAAAATGTTAATAAAAGTGTCCTCTTTCCAATGAACCAACACGTTTTGAAAAATTACTTGTAGTTTTTGAGAAAACAATATTTGAAGTTTTGTTAAAATTTTCGATGTTGCAATTTTCATCAATAATTTTCAAAATTCACTATAAAATTCATTTCATGAGGGATCCTTGTGGAATTATCACCAATTATTAATTATAGTATCCTCTTTTTAATGCAACAAGCCGTTTTGACAAATCACTTTTAGTTCTTGAGAAATTAATTTTTGAAATGACCCACAATTTTTCGAATATTGCCATTTTCGCCGATTAAGTTTTAAAAATTCGTATAAAATCGATTTCTTGGAATATGAGTATGAAAATTTCCCAAAGTGTTAATAAAAGTGTCCTCTTTCCAATGAACCAACCCGTTTTGAAAAATAGCTGTTAGTTTTTGAGAAACCAATATTTGAAGTTTTGACAAAATTTCGATATTGCAATTTCACATCGATAACTTTCGAAATTCGCTATAAAATTAATTTTTTGAAGGATCCTTGTGGAAATATCATCAATTATTAATTATAGTATCCTCTTTTTACTGCAAAAAGCCGTTTTGAAAAATCAGTTTTAGTTCTTGAGAAATACATTTTTGAAATGATCGACAATTTTTTCGAATTTGGCAATTTTCGCCGATTAAGTTTTAAAAATTCGTATAAAATTCAGTTCTTGGAATATGAGTATGAAAATCTCCCAAAGTATTAATAAAAGTGTCCTCTCTCCAATGAACCAACCCGTTTTGAAAAATAACTTTTAGTTTTTGAGAAAACAATATTTGATGTTTTGATAAAATTTTCGATGTTGCAATTTTCTTCAATAACATTCAAAATTCGCTATAAAATTTATTTCTTGAAGGATCGTTGTGGAAATATCACCAATTATTCATTAAAGTAACCTCTTTTTAATGCAAAAAACCGGTTTGAAAAATCACTTTTAGTTCTTGAGAAATAAATTTTGAAATAATCGACATTTTTTCGAATTTTGCAATTTGCGCCGATTAAGTTTAAAAAATTCGTATAAAATCGATTTCTTGGAATATGAGTATGAAAATTTCCCGAAATGTTAATAAAAGTGTCTTCTTTGCAATGAACGAACACGTTTTGAAAAATAACTTTTAGTTTTTGAGAAAACAATATTTGAAGTTTTGATAAAATTTTCGATGTTGCAATTTTCATCGATAACTTGCTATAAAATTAATTTCTTGAAGGATCCTTGTGGATATATCGCCAATTATTAATTAAAGTATCCTCTTTTTAGAGTTGCTTCGTTAGTTAAATCAGCATCAAAAAAGTTCATGTTGTATCTTGGATCCAAATAAGTTGATATATCTTATCAGCTTTCTTATTAATTTCATTTTTATTTAAATATCGCAATAATGTGGCAATATAGGGTATCACTTCAGAAATTATAATCATAATGGCTGGATAGATATGCCGGATAACCGGATATCCGACAGAAGGGTATCCAAAATCACTATCCGTTCCATCACTGTCTAAAACCTTTGTTAGTTTCAGATAAAAAGAAAATGGTGGCATCAAAGATAACCTTTACTATTACCATCAAACCCATCCCATCATACAAAAAAAAAGTTATAAACCCCAAGATCATTCCAACCACATATACACACACGTACGCGGGCAATCCAGAGACTTCCCAGAATCGCAACAATGCCGCAATAAATATCAAACGGCGTTTTATGGTTTGACGCGCAAATCGCGTAATGGCATTTTTGAAATTACTGCAACTCGAGGCCCTACCGCTCCAGCCCGATCTTTTATTTACTCTCGTACACAACACACACAATCGCACACCGACCGACAGAATAAACCCACCAACGGAAAGAAGAAAGAAAGAGAGAAAAGCGAACCTTTAAAGAAACAAAAAAAAAGTAAAAGAGAGACCAACAACGATGGCGTAACATAACTATTATAAATGCGCTTAGCCAGGGTATTATAAATGGTTCTATTGTAAATAGTACTATTGTAAACATAAAACATGTGGGTTGGTTTACGTGTTAAGCACGTGTCTGAACTAAACAGAAACAAAACTTTTTGCGTTTCGAAATTAATAATAAACAAAATCATTAAATATAATATTTTAATACCTGTTGCGTTATGAAGATTAAGTGGGTGTTGACAAGAAACCCCGCAATCGTGCCTGCAACATTTCAAAATCCCCGGACACTGCGAATCCTTGGAACAAGTATCCACGCAAACTGCCGAAAACGGCGATAAAGTTAAATTGGAGTTATACTGGATATCGCGTGGACAAGATCCCGGTTTTGTTAACCCTCTTCTTACGCAAAGTTTTTGACACTACACAAAATAGAAGAAAAGATCAATTAAACAGTGGAAATAACAAGGATATTTAAAAAGATTAATCTTAAGAGTTGCTTGGGCTCGGCCATCATTTACCAAGGATTTTAAAGACAAAAAGCCGGCGGATCGATCAGAAGATAGAGGTGTTCCTCGGCTTTAGTTAAAAGGATCTACTATCTCTCCTCGACTCCTTTCGGATTGTCGGCTTTTTGCCATAATCCTCGTTCTCTCGGCGACGACTCTGTGATTCATCGTGTAACTGTGTTTACCTATACCAGGAAGAGTTTCTATCTCTCTATATGACTATCTTTCATTAGACACAAAACGAGAATTTGTAAATAAAACATCACAAAAAAAATAAAACAAAATAGAGAAGAATAAAATTACCATATCTTTATCGTCCTGATGAAGACATCGAGCTTCACAAGTAGCTAATAAAATAGAATCTGGTTGTCCTTCCTTGAAACGGCACTTAGCGGAAGATAATTTAATGAGGATGAAGACGACGACGGCGAAGAGAATCGGGAGTGGTGATGATGAGGAGCACTTCTTTCGCGTCATGTTCCCGGTATCGCAGACCGCCAATCACTAAACGAGAAGGCCGAGGTCTTCGGGACTGCGGGCGTTTGGCTGCTGTTGCTGCTGCCGTCGCCTGATCTAGTTCCAAAGGAGAGACCCGAAGAACCCGAAGGAGGGATGCAACAACAGCTCAACGGCGACAACTACGACGACGGTGGTAGCTACAACCAGACCCGACAATTGAGAGATCGGATCGCACCTTTGTATTTTCTCCTTTTGCCTTCCGTATAAATCTGCGGGTTTGAAGCGACCGACGGTTAAAGAGGAACGAGGAAGACTTTGTCTATTCTCAGACTTTGTCATCCAGGTTGTTTTCATTTTGCTATTTAAGGGTGAAGAAAAAAGTTTATGAAAAATAATTCGGAAGAAAAAATATAACATAAATTATTTTTTATTTGTATCAAGAAGTTATATAATAAGTTTTTTAAAAGGCATTAATTGGGTATCTATTTATAAACAAACAAAATTCGCTAAATTGTTTTGATTGAATGAAAAGTCTTCTGGAATTTGTATAAATAAATCTACAAAGACCTAGGTAATACCAGAGATTAAGTTCTATTCACAGATGATGATTTCGGATTGATACGATGAAAATGTTAGAAACCTTGACAAAGAACACAAATATATTTAATATCATATCAATCCAAAAGTGCATTATAGCACCTCGGATACAAATGACCTCGACTAAATCAGAATATAGAATGTACCATTTTTCTAAAGGAAACCAAGGAGGCAATGAAAAGTGAACATAAAACGAGGAATCGCAGAGTTTGAAAACGCATTCGTAGTAGTGCGTGGTACAGAAAAAAAAGACAAGTCGCAAGATGGTCAAACAGGAACTTCATATTGTAAATCAGATAGTATCGTGTTTAACAACGCCATTACTCATTTTATGAAGAAAAATTAAATCATTTATTTTGCGCCTGGAGGAGAGCTGCGGGATGCCGAAAACTCTGCTTTGGTGAGCAGAGTCGCAATATGGCAAAAAAATGTGTGTGAAAGGTGCCGAAGGAAACGCTTTTGGACTTGCTCTAAGCGATCAATGTAATAATAATAATAATAACAATACTTTATTGGTGATAGCATCAATAAGTGATCTTCACAGGTCATAAAAGAAAATAATACAATAAACTAAAAGTAGTAATAAGTAACAACAGGTAAGTAAAAGAACAAAAAAAGAAGAAAAAGGCTTCTGGGAGGCGACACACCGGTCATAGCAAGTCATCAAAATCATTGGTCAAAAACTCTTGAATAGTATAAAAGGCCTTAGTCACTAAACAATTTTTCATTTTGTGGTTGAAATTGTTACTCTCTAGCAATCTTATGTGTTTCGGAAGAACATTGTAGAATTTTATGCCAAAATAACACAGGCCGACAAATTTTTAAACCAGAGACCAGACTATACCTTCCAAATAATTTTCGATACCCTGAATCCGAATCTGACGTCAGAATTGCTTCATCACCTAAGATTTTCAAGATACTTACCTAAAATATGCGAAAAACACGATTTTTCAGCACATTCAAGGCTGAATTTACATCAAAAGATAATTTTTCTCCACAGAAGTCATTATGCCATTTAAAACTCTTTCTCTGTCCCCTTAAAATCTTATGTTATTCATTTAAATATTTTTCTTGATCTCTGAGAAATTGTCTCCTAAAACTAAGAAATTCATCATATTTGAAATAACATCTGTTTATTTTCCAGTTTTATTTACAAGTTTTAAAATGTTTTATTAACACTTCAAAGCAATACAAAATATTAATAAATAACAACAAACGTATGGTCTAAAACGAAATTAATGATAAAGAACATGAAGTGGCCTGCCCTTACCCTATCAATGTCGTTTACAGAGATTGTTAAAAAAAGGTTTCTTAATGTAGTTGGAAAAACGCATTAAAACGCAATGAATTCAAAACATTGTAAATACTTACATACAAAAAAGTATAAATGACTGATCCGATCATACGATTTCGATAACATTCCATATATGGTATTTTTTTCTCATTTTACAGACGTATACAAAAGTGTATGTGTTCAGGTAAAGTGACACTTCCGGTCAAGCGATTTCGCTGAAATTCAATATATCGTAATTTTTTGTTATTTATTAGATGTATACGAAAGTATATGTTAGGCTATACATATCAAAAATGTAAGTTTATATGAAACGTTTGAAAATGTCTTCAGGTAAAGTGCCATTTCCAGTTGGTGGATTTGGTCTAAAAGGTGTTTACGAGCTTTCGATTTTGGTTTAATAGCTATATACCAAATGTCATTACGATAGCTGATTGCGTTTTTAAGTTATCGTGTTTACACACATACATACATACGTACGTACATAAATACGCACAAACATTTTCTGGAAATAGTCAATATGGACTCAGAGGACCTCAAAACGTGTATATACATCAAAATGTAGAGGTCGAATTTCAATACTTTGTCTCATATATACCTATACATATTTCGTATATAGTGCGAGAAAGTAAGAATTAATTTACAATATTTTTGTTTGATATACTTTATAACAATAAAACTTCATAACTTTCACTTATTCTCGAATATTTTTAAATTAATTTGTTTTTTATTGTATTTAATTTTGTATTTTTAAAACTTCTTTCCTATTTATAGGAATTGAGATGTTATTTTAGTTTCTTATGATAACGAACGCGCATCAATTCAAACGATCGTTTAACACTCTTACGCTTATATTGAGCAGCGTTATCGTTTCTTTTCAAAGACCAGCAGTAGCCAGCCATCATTCTTTCATCCCATCTACCTTGATAGTGTCGCTCTTTTTCTTTGAAATCCTGATGGAATCGTTCACCCATCTCTTCGCTGAAGGCTCCTACATTTTCCGGAAAGTAATCCAAATGGGAAAATAGGAAATGTAGCTTCACACTCATTAAACAGCCTAATTTGTTAAAGTTTAATAACATTGTCGATGCAATGTTTTTATATTGTTGATCCCGATGGTTGCCCATGAAATTTTGTACAACTTCTTTGTAACTTAACCAAGCATTTTTTTCGTTATCTGTCATTGTTCTTATAAAATCGTCATCTTTCATTAACTTTCTTATATCAGGCCCCACGAAGATACTTAAATTTGGAAATGCAGACTTAAGATATTTAAAACAGTTTCCATCAGTATTTAAGGCTTTTACGAATTGTTTCATCAAGCCTAATTTGATGTGGAGTGGAGGTAACAAAATACGCTTTGTATCTTGTAAACAACATTGTTGGAACCAACTGGAATCCAATGTTGTTCTCGGGCGCGACTGTCCCAAACGCAGAGAAAGCAAGGATTTTTTGTATTTCCTGATTGTAAACCAACCAAAATATTGATCATTTTAAAGTCACCACATATAAACCAGTTATGGATGTTGTAGTTGATTTTTTCGAGTACAAATTGAAGGTCTTCGTATGATTCTTTTCGCCTGGTGGAATGACCAATAGGGATTGCTGCGTATTTATTGCCGTTATGGAGCAACACTGCTTTAAGGCTTTCTTTAGAGGAATCTATAAAGAGCCGCCAGTCATCGAACTTATACACACCTACTTGATATGTATTGATAAGTCCTTCTATACACTAAAAAAATATTTCAGAAATTCCTCATCTCTTTTTCTGTACGCTGTAATTTTTGTTCCGGGTAACAACATGTTCCTCTCTTTAAGTCTGGAAGCCAATATTTCAGCTGAATCTTTAGAAAGACTAAGATCGCGAATAAGATCATCTAATGAATCTTGATCAAAAAGTTTAGGGTCTTTGGCACTAACAGAATCCTCATAATCACTGTCCTTTTCACGTTCAACAAAACTCATTTCTTCCAAACGACATTCATTTTTATTAGGTGGTACTTTGTCTAATCTCGCTATTTTTCCTTTCTTGGCTGGTGTTACGCTTTGTACGTTAGAATATAATATGTTTCCTTTATTTTTTCTATTATAACCTGTTATATCACAGGCACAGAAGTAACAGTCTTCAATGTGATCCTTAGGCTCATACCACATGGTTGGTGTAATGACAACTTCCTTTTTCATATCGTTCCAATTAATCAGAGTGAATCTACAAGTACTACAAATAGAAATAAAAATAAATTTATGAATAAATTCATAAAAATTAACTGGATTTTGAATGTCCTGTTTCGCAATTGAATACCATCTGGTTAAAAGATAAATGTATGGTTAAATATTTCAACTTTAAAGTTTCATTTTTAGATATTTAATCATATTTTCGCATATTTATTTTACTTGTGCATTAACATCGCTAACTTGATGTAACTCAACACCAGTTTATCGAGGACAGAACAAACCGACGTACTTATTAATTTCAACAGATGATATCTCAAGAAGAAAAAAGATATTTAAATAATTGAAAAAGAGTTTTAAAGGGAAAGGGTAATAATTTCAAAATTTCTAAAAAATTTTTTTTTTTTTAATTCCGTCATGGTGAACTATAACCACAAATACGACCAGAAACCGTATTTTTAACATATTTTGGATAAGATATTTTGAAAACCTTACATGATGAAGCATTTTTGAGGTTAAATTTGGATTTAGAACGTGAAAAACCTTCGGAATAGTATAATCTACTTGTTGGTTTAGAAAACATTTAAATTTTTGTCGGCCTGTGTAATTGACGCCATCCCTGGCCCTTGCCGTTCGAGAATAGTCCGTCATTAAGGTATCACCCGCCCTAGTGTGGTAATTATGATAAGTATTAAGAGTTTTAAATTTGAAGATATTACCCTTAATATATAAGAGACAATGTAAAGCGAAGGAAAAGTCAGTATCTTATAATCAATGAAATTGGCTCTACAACAGTCTCAAAAACCTAGACCGGCCATAACTCTAACACATCTTCGCTGCACACCAAAAACACGATCCACATGGGCAGAGTGACCCCAACAAATTAACGCGTACGATACGTGGCTGAAGAAATAGCCGTAGTATGTGTTCATCACAACATTGAACGGGATAAGGTCTCTTAGTCTCCGAATGACGAATGATATTCAGTTTTTTCGTCAATTGGTCAATGTGGGCCTTCCACGTCAAACCAGAGTCAAGATAGACCCCCAGGAACTTGACTAGCTCCGAACACGACCTGAAACGTTTAAGTGAAAAGTTTAAAGTTTATTTTT